TAACTCAACAACGCCTAGACCAATTTGGCGAATTCTTTTTTTAAAATGTTTGCTGAAGTCCAAGGATGGTTTTTACGGCGAGAAAATATCGAATAATTGCCGGGAAAACCCTAAAAACAGCCCTTTTCTTTTTTACATACAAACTTTTTCACATAGTATTTTCATATTTTTGCCATCGGGTCTGGAATATTTTCTCAAGTCCATGGAGGGCTTTGGGTCTGATTTTTTTTACTGTGCTCCAATTTGTATGAAATTGTAAAATTAGTTTATCTTACTCTCAAATTCAAAAGTGAAAATAATTTAGACTCATTTGACATTTCCCCGGGGGATGACATGCCTCTTAGAGGTGTAATTTATTTTTTTCAAAAAACGTCGGATATCGATAAAAGAACTAATTATAAGAAAAAAATGTTTTATAATGTTTTTCAAAAAAGCAAATACTCATCATTTTATTTAAAGCAGTTGTACATTTAAGATCCATATGGGTTGATAAAAACATAATAATTTTTAACTAATTGGTAAATATCATTAAAAAAAATTTGAACTTTTGAATTGTAAACTTAAGTACAGGACAACGCCTGCCGGGTCATCTAGTATACAATAAAAAATTCTTATATTATAACATTTTGTTAATTTTGAAAACATTTGTAAAATTTAAATTTTAAAATAAAATTAAAAAATTCTTTCTTCTTTTGAAAATACTTATAATTTTTGAAAACTATTTTTTTTCAACTTGGATTTTTTTGAAATTTCTTGAAGGCATTTGAGTCCCATTCATTTCGGTTGATCCAGGCTGTCAAAAATATTTGATTTTTGACCGCTAACTGGAATATTTCTATACTAATTTTTTGGACCTCCGAAAAAATTGTATTTTCTCTACTATACAGTTTTTCTTTTCGAGTGACTTTCTTCATTCTCTCTCTCCAATCTTGCTTCTAACTTTTAATGCTATTTAACTCCTATATTCATTTACTTCTTCATTCTTATTTTTAACTACTACTCATGTTATATATATATATATATATATATATATATATATATATATATACTATTTTAATTCTGCAATTTTTAATTCAACAATGCAAATTTTTATGCCGATGCTAGGACTCGAACCCAGTGCTACTGACTGAGCTATGTCCGCCACTATTTATACTTTATAAATTATATGAATATTTTTGTATTATTTCAAAAGCAAATAGATATTTTTTTAATAATTCTAAGCGAACACGTCCAAAAGTATACAAAATAATTCGTATTTAGAAAAGTCTCAAATACTTATAAATATCAAATCCGGCTTTGGACCTGTGAGTGACATGTGTCTAGTGGGGTCAATAAGCTACGCGATTGATACGACGAAACCCTAGATTTCGTGTGACAGATTGTAAATGGGTTTTATGTGATATATAAAGTAGGCCAGATAGCATATGCATACGTCTTATTATGACCTCATAACACTTTTTAGGGGCAGATGTCGATGCTGATATTATCAGTATATAAAATCATAACTCATAGAGCAAATGTTTTACGCATACCTCACAAAAATGAACGGGGGAATGAGATTTGTGGGATAATTTATATGGTAATATGTATTTCTTAAGCATGAAAAAACTTTTCTTCTACAAGTTACAAAGTAATAACTGTTTATAATTATTATTCTCATAATTATATTAAAGGACATATGATCAACAGAGAATATTTTATGCAATTTCTTTTAAACCAACTTTATTTAATAGTAGGATATACTGTGTACGGTTGTGCACCTTTTTTTCTGATCAGTAGTAATTTTGTTAATTTACTAGTGAGCTGGGTGAAAAGTAAATTAAATGGTAAATTGAACATTTGTTTTCCGTCCACACTCCCAAGAACGGCTGTGACCGATAAAAACAGATTAATTAACAATATATATAAAAACCAAAATAACTTTTATTGACAGAAACGATTTTATTGACAGAAATATGTAACGCAATACAAGATAATCCTTTAACCAAATCTTATGAATATCATAAAACAATTTTATAAAAACATATTTTTTTAAATAAAGTTAAAAAGAATTCTTTGTAAAACCTTGTTTTTTCTTATGCTAGTTAATTGCTTTTATCTATTTAATCTTTACCCGAGAAGGTCAAGAATACATTTCACAATCGTATTCACAAAATTTGTCACAACCGTACCCAACACACACTTTTGGAGACAAATCTTAGTTGTGTACGAGCTAAATTATCTATGCTAAAGCTAAATGCTGGTAATTAACTGCTAATGTTCAACTTATAGCAAAATAACAAACTTTGGACTTATGTTAATACATATAGGCGACTGAAAGCAATAATGAAAACTTGTTCGAACAAACATACTTAATCTTTCTCTCATGGATCATTTCTCAAAATCAGTATAGTTTAGCTGTTGTGATGACTGTCACTACAGTACCCTGCACAACCGTACCCAGTCACCCCTATTCCAAGTTAAAATGGTGATTCTAATAATCTAAATCTAATAAATAAATTTATAAACTAATTAAAATAATCTCGATCGAGTAAATTACATAAATAATAAAAATGTACCCGGAACGCATAAAATATATTTCATTTTATAATTTGTGTTCACTGAATTGGAACATAATAATTTAAAATGTAGCTAGTATAATATTTTAATTATTCATTAAATACTTTATATTTAAATTGCATATTCTTTACTATGAGAGCAATGTTACAATTATTCAAAGGTATTTCGCCTTTGAATGATTACTCAAACGTTTTCATAATATTGCCCGGAGCTAAATGTGTTAAATGTCTAATTGGAATATTTTATTTAATTGAAAGCTTTTGATCTTTTTTATTATTTTACGACCTCTATAATTCATTTCTTTAAACTAGAACGAATTTTATTATAATTATTAAAAAATTCAGATAAAATCGAAATATTTATAAATGTAGTAGAAAAGTTTATTTAACAGAACGTAAAACTGAACATTATCACATTATTTAATGTTTTTGTGAAGCATTAGTGCTACCAAATTTGAAAAAAAAACTGATAAAAACGCTTGGTTTCTTCATTTTAATTGTATTTGTTTATTATTGTGATAATGATCTTAATTAAAGACAAAGTTTGAAACAATATTACCTGAACGTGTTCGATCAAATATTCTTCTTATTAAATATTTGCATCTTACCCGTAGATCCTTTAATGTAAGATAGTTTTTTGTATTACAAACATAGACGAATTTCTATATTAACTAAAATATTCAATGAAATTCTTATTAAGGATTTTTATCAAATCCATAATGGAAATATCTATAGTTCTGATTATTTAGCTTGGAATTCTCATCTAAAATTATTACTGACATGTGTAATCGACTAAAGCATCACTTATCTTCCATGAGCTACTTACTGTTAGCACGTCAGCAACCCTTATATATATATATATATATATATATATATATATATATATATATATTATGTAGCTGTGTAAGCTTATGTGAAATCAAAAGCAAATCACGTTGGACTCTATATATTTGTCAAGAATCACTATAAATTTTACCAGGAATCAATATTATTGTTTGATATTAAATTGTAGTATTTAATTTAATTAAAACAATTTATAATGATTCCATAAAGTTTTAAGGTACTTCATGAAGTGCATCTTTTTTTTGAATAGCAAAGAATTGAAATGATTTTACATAAACGTTATATTTCTTCGTGGGTTATATAATATTCACGTAAGAATATAAGAAAACGATGTCGTGCTATATTTGGATCTCATAATATACACAATATAATCAAATTATCTGAAGACATTAATGTCTCTGACATATTTTTTTTTGTTTAAAGCAACAACTGCAAAATGCTTTGTTACTACTTTAAAATCACAACCAAATTCTGCAAAATTGATGAAAATTAATGTAGTTATTCAAATAGCTACACATTTAGTTATGCACAATTTATTATGAAAAAAATATTATTTTTTAATGCATTCTGTTGTATTAAGACAGATTATTACATTATTTGTCATCTAAGGCTTGTAGAATTATAGTTTATTATTATTCTGTCCAAGATTAATAAATTTTTATTATGCAAATGTCGGCGCATACTTTATTAAAATTGGAGATGAGAATTTATGTGGGTTTAAGTTGAAATTCAATTTTTCGCAATTATGACTTTTTAATATATTGACTTCTTTAATATTGCTTTATTAAAGAGAATATTGATTTAAAACCGACTTTGTACAGCGACCGTGAACAGTTTTTTAAATTAAAGGGGTTTTCTAGCTTAGAAATTTTATGAAATCGAGTTTTGTTTTTTGATATTTTCAAAGTTTAGCTATTCAAGGATATGTGTGCAATATGATTTTATAAGATTTAAATAATTTTTGGAGATATAGCTGTTAGACCACTATAATCCTCTTGTGTTTTCTTCCTCCGCGAAGAACTGTCGATGCAATGTAGACTTTTTCCTGTAGATAGCCACCATTTTTTTCACTTCTGCTCGATTTACTTGAAATTTTGACAGACTCTTTTTATATTGACGTCTCATCACTATGAACTAAGCTCATCCCCAAATTCTTAACTTTTTTAAAAAAACTTCAGAAAAATAAAAAAAAGTTGTAATTTTTTTTCAGACAGTAGCTATTTCCTAAAAAAATGTTCAACTTGCCCGTAGTTCATACGAATGCCATATTAATTCTATATTAATAATATTTCTAATCTAAATGAGGTATATGGTCTAGTGCCCACTTATCATCTGCTAGAAATAAAACTTTTCTACTGTTTAAATTCTCATTTTTTTGTATTATTAAAACAATGATTAATAATGTATAAAAAAAGATAGTAAATATATTGCTTACCTTTTTACAGCATTTTAAAAATTATATAAAATTCATGCCTTTACACTAAATAACCCCCTTATTATGACTACTTTAAAATATTATGATATACCTTTGTTTAGTCAGTTGTGACATGTTGTACTGAACCATAAAAATTAAAGTGGTACTATTTAATTTAATTCCAGAAATACGAAGTAGAATTTCTCCTGCAGCAGCAATGGTTCGATCCGCGGTTGCGATACTCGAACCAAAGTCAATACGAGTACCTGAACGCGATTCACCACCACGAAGACATTTGGCTGCCGGACACCTATTTCATCATGCACGGAGACTTCAAAGATCCTATCATACCCATGCACTTCGCGCTACGCATCTACAGGAACGGGACCATCAATTACCTCATGAGGTAATGGACGTCTGTGTCATTAGCAGATTAATCATATATATATATATATATATATATATATATATATATATATATATATATTGATTATCGTATATATATATCGTATATATATACTTTAATTTGATGTTGATATTATATATTTTGAACAATAAAAATAGTATAAAATACATACGTTTCAACAATGGTAGTATAAAAACATCCTAGTCTTCATTTAGTGGAATATTAATTTGGCATCCTTAATTAATGAAACACTATGGCAACATGGCATTACGATGTGCACTATTGTAAAATCTATATATTTTCGTACACGAATAAACATGTATAATATTTATTAACTTATCGAGAATGTGTACTGACTGTTATGAGTTTTGGATAGATTTTTTTTTATTATCTCTTTTATTTACAACTGTCCAGTAAAAGACATTCAATAAATTTTATGTATTTACAATAGTCGGCTGAAAAGGGACATTGTTGGAAAGGGCATGTTGGAAAAAACAACTTAGTAGTAGTTTTGGATAGATGTCCACCGCAAATATCTCAATATCTGTTAGCACTGTTGTTCATTTACGAGATCTCAATGTAATTTTTAAAGATACATTATTTATTTATTTTATTTATTTATTAATTTATTTGTTTTATAAGATATATCGATAAATTTAAGTTAGATTTAACAGTTGTTTTATATAACCTTTATAAAAGCTTACACGTGGGTGGGGTACTTGACCTTTACTTTGGCAAAGGTGTAAACAATAAAAAATAGTAAATAAAAAATGAAATTAAGTTAAAAAAGCAACTCTCACAGAAATAAATAATGAGTTATTCCAACTCTGCTGATAAATATTTTTGACGAAATACCAGATCAAGGTTATACGAGTATATAGTGTTATCTCAGTAAAAAATGTACTCATAAAAGTTATATTTTACATTTGTTGAATGTAGCTATTATTTTGTAAAATCGTTAAAAAAATAATAATAAGACATCTGCGGGTCTGTTTGCTCCCTGGCCGTCGGAAAAAAGGACTAAGTGACAAATTTTTAAAAAAGTGCAAAACAATTTTCTGATAGTTGTTTGTTTGATTTGTGTTATTTGTTGTGATATAAATATTCTAATTTTCACAATATAATCGCACAAAGTCAAATTGGATTTTTGTGTTCTGCCCTATACTGCGTACTATTTACCATATTTAAAAAAAACATAATTTATAAAAAATTAAAAATATCAGATAAGGAATAAATTATGCTTATATTATGCTGAATATAATACTTTAATAAATATGAAATATATGATAATAATAAATATTCATGATTGCACCTTAATTGTGTAGATATTTTTAGTATGGTTTTAGAATTATATCTTCACAATAATATGTGCGATGTATGATAATAATAATCATGTGACATTCGGCACACTTCAATCTAACAACTATTGTACAATTTTTGATTCTTAATTTTTAATTCATCCTTGCGTTTAGAGAAATAAATTATGCCACTCATTAGAAATAGATTTCCTGAGAGTAATACTGGAAGAAAATATCCGTTGATATCGCTTTGTTGACTACACGTGTCTATCCCTGTCGGGGCTAATCACTTCCGCATCATGCCCTGAATCATTCAATTGAAAATAAACGTATCTATCTGATGATATTGAAAAGATGATGCTCCGTGCTGCAATTTAGCTCCGATATCGCGAAATCGTCGTTGATTCCCGGAAGTAGGTCGATCATCATTACCGTTCGAGATGCTGATAATTAATTAATCCTAACAAGCGTTACTTGCCAAGAGACTTGAGCGCAAGAAGCATATGATTGATTCGATACATGTATCCCGTTTTGCGTCATGTGATGTGCGTTACTTGTAATTGCTACATCAGGCATAAGAGGACTAATTAATGTTAATTACGTAAACTAGTGGGGCGCATGGCATCGTGCCTTAAGGCAAATTGCTGGAACTTCCCGTACCAAAAATTATTGACATTTTTGAAAAAATTTTACTTCGAAAAAATTAGATTTTTGAGAAACTATAAATTTGACAAAAAATTACTTTCTTTTGAAAAAAAAAGTTTTCTTTATTTTGACATATTTTGGAAATTCTGAACTTTTTTCCAAAGCAATCGTACTGCTTTAACTGCATAGAGACGGAATATAGAAGTGCGTAAGCGCCGCGTCGCTGTGTAACGGATAAACATTGGTACGGAACCCATAGGAATGTAAACAAAATTTATGCTTATTGTTAAATTCTCTATAAAATATCTGATAATTTGATGTGCATATGTTTAATGATCATTTTTGACCGCCAAATGACATTTTTTTTTCCTTTTTTTATTGGATCTCCGAAACCGCTAAACCTGCCTTTATGAAAATTTAATCAACTCTTCATCTTGTCAATATAAGAAAAACGTTTTTTGAATTATTAAAATCGGACGCTTAGTTCTCTTAAAAACTGAGTTACCATTTTCGGCATTTTTTGTCCCATATCTTTGGAACCGCTAGACCTGCCTTCGCCAAAAACAAATCAGCACGTCTTCTTGTCAGTACGAATCGAATATTTTTTGAATTATTTAAATCGGTTGATCGGTGTTCCCGAAATCGTCGACGAAAATTTGTATCCGCGCACACACACACACATACATCCATTTTTTTTAAGGTATGCCAAAATATTCAGAAACCTTTGAAACGTAAAGATATATAAAATTTTTCATTTTCGATTTTTTTGCGATTACTATAACTTGCCCTACGGGAAGTTAATTATTGTATTTGGAATTAGTCCTGATGAAGTTTATATCATTTTTTTAATTAATTAACTTCATGTAGGGTAAGTTATTGTAATCGTCTATAAATCGAAAATGAAAATTTTTGCATAACTTCACGTTTCGAAGGTTTCTGAACATTATGGCATATCTTAGAAAAAATGTATGTATGTGTGTATGTGGATACAATTATTCGCCGATGACTTCGGGCGTACGGATCGACCGATTTGAATCGTTATTTATCGATTTACGAGTAATTTATAGTATTTATAGTGATACGCGCTGATAGATTTTTGGGAAAGGTCGGTCCAGCCGTTTTGGAGTTACGAAGCAAAGAGTAATCCTATTTGAATGATTCAAAAAACATTAAATTTGTAATGACGAGAAGACGTAAGATTAGTTTTTAGCAAGGGCTGGCTTTGCTGTTTGAGATATGGAGCTAAAAGTGGAATAAATCGCAGGTTTTTGAGAGAACAAAGCATAAGATTCGAATGATTAGAAAAAACTTTTTGCTTGTGAAGAAAGAAATGCTATTAGTTTCTTGGGAAGGCATTTTTTTAAATTATTTTTTAAGTACTAATCTTTTCTAAAATATCAAATATAATTCGGATTTTAATTTTAATTTTAGTTAAAAATCTTAAACTCACTTATATACTCAAAATAAATACTTTTTACTTTGCAATTTACTTCATATAATTTTTACAAATATGAGTATAGTTTTTTCATTCTAACTTTGCTTGATCAAGTTCTATTTATTAACTTCCCGTAGGGTAAGTTATAGTAATCGCAAAAAAATCGAAAATGAAAATTTTTATATATCTTTACGTTTCAGCGGTTTCTGAACATTTTGGCATACCTTAGAAAAAATGGATGTATGTGTGTGTGTGTGTGTGTGTGTGTGCGTGTGTGTATGTATGTGCGGATACAAATTTTCGTCGACGATTTCGGGAACACAGATCAACCGATTTGAATAATTCAAAAAACATTCGATTCGTATTGACAAGGAGACGTGCTGATTAGTTTTTGGCGAAGGCAGGTCTAGCCGTTCCGGAGATACGGGGCAAAAAGTGCCGAAAACGGTAACTCAGTTATTAAGAGAACGAAGCGTCCGATTTTAATAATTCAAAAAACATTTTACTTGTATTGACAAGATAAAGAATTGATCAAATTTTCATAAAGGCAGGTCTAGCGGTTTCGGAGATCTAACAAAAAAAGTAAAAAAAAATTCCATTTGGCGGTCAAAAATGATCATTGGACATATGCACATCAAATTTTCATTTATATAGAGATTTTAACAATAAGTATAAATTTTGTTTATTTTCCTATGGGTTCCGTATCAATGTTTACCCGTTAGACAGCGACGCCACGCTTACGTGCTTTATATTTTGTCTCTATGCAGTTAAAGCAGTACGATTGCTTTGAAAAACAAGTTTAGATCTTCCAAAATATGTCAAAATGAAGAAAACATTTTTTGTTCAAAAAAAAAATTTTTTTTAAAAAATAATCTTATTTTTTCGAAGTAAATTTTTTTCAGAAATGTTAATTGTTTTTAAAAAAAATAATAATTTTTGGTACGGGAAGTTCCAGCAATTTGCCTTAAGGCACGATGCCCTAATTGCCTTAAGACAGAATTCCACTTACAGCTAGTCAATGTATCACATTTGTATTAGGGTCTTGTATTTACTCGTATATGGTCCGCTAATGTCATTTTGCAACCCACAGAATAGAAGGATTAAAATCCAAAAACAGTTTTATGAAGATTATTGGAAATAGGAACCTGATTTTTTTTACCTATATATAAAACTATATCATCCAGCATTTTCATTATAATAATTATTATTAAATTTACTTTTTTGCAACCAAAAAATAAGTAGAGTTGAAGTACATGCTATTTAATACAGTAAAAGCTTCCTAGTTTTGAATGATCCTTAAATATGCCTCGGATAAAGAAACCGTTAATACATGACGGGTATTTATATAAGATTATGGAAGATACCTTCTATGCTGACATAGAAAAATAAATATTCAAGAAAATTTATTTGAGTTTTTGAACATTTTGATTGTTTTATATTAAGTTAATTACTTTTATATTAAGACAATGTTTTTAAGAACTCTTTAATAATCTCTTGCTTGGCAGTTTTTAAAAGTTTCTTTGATTCAATCTGATACTCAGAACTTCTGAGTTTTCTAATGCGACGTCTGAGTTAGGAGTCGCATCAGGTATTTGCCTCTTGAAAGTACGGCTTTGGCTCATAGACGGATCAATATTTATATAGAAATCGCTCAAATCATTTACCATTTTTAAATCTTTAGTAAGGTATTTCTAACTAAATGTCACGTTCCTATTAAATGTTAAAGAAATTGAATTGTTTTCTTGCAATACGATACAGGCAGTATTATAGAATTTATAATAATAATTGTTAAATAACCGCTACTCTTTATTAATATAATATGAATGATAATAAAGATAAGAATAGAATATAATGAATTAACTTATTTTATTAGTTATTAATTACAAAACTGTACTCGCACGATACTATAATTTTAATTTATTTCTCCATTATATTAGCAGCAATGAAAATATATCTCCATTATTGCTCCAATACGTACATTCTCGTGTTAAAGTTTCATTAACTATTTGATTAGCTTAATTAACTTTTCTAATTATAAGTTAAATGAAAACATATTTGAGGAAATATTTGCACAATAAATATAGACTTAGTGTTCCCATAGAGCAAATATTTTGAGTTTGAATTGCTTCCTGTTATAGTGTTGCCACTGAATTTACCAAAAATAGTTCTCCATGTTGGGAAACTCCACAAACAGATGGGAATATTTTAATATTCAATTATTTTGAACACTTTATTATAAATTATTATGAAGTGTGAACCACATTGAATATTGTCTAGAAAAACTAACGTATTACTTTCTTGAAGTGGATTTCTTTATGATAAGATTACTTTTTTCTGAAATTGATTAGGCTTAGTAATTTATTATTGAAAGCTTCAGTTCAAATGTTGTGCCGTTATAATAATAATTTTTATGTATAAAATTCATTATGAAACTTTTTTTTTTAGAGAAGGAAAAGTTTTTTAGCTCAACAACTATTCGCCATTCATAAAATATTATATCGATATATTTATAAGTGTGCGCAAAAATTGTGTATATTTCAAGAATGTGTTCTAAATTTGTTTTTAAATATTTAAATATACCAAGCAATTTTTAGTTGGTTTCAATTTAGATTATTCAAATGAGACTTTGAATTTTACTATTTATATCTTATGTAGTAGTGATGTTTTACCATTTGCTATTTTAAGACAGTGTATTGGAATTTAATATGTAAGCTAAGTTGTTTTGATAAATAGCATGATAACTAATTTATGTTTCTTTTTATTTCCAGACGTCACTTAATTCTTTCGTGTCAAGGACGTCTAAATATATTCCCTTTCGATGACCCTTTATGTTCATTCGCGTTAGAAAGCAGTAAGTATTTCTTCAAATTCATTTATTATTCATACAGAGCAAGATTGCATGAGTGGAGTTTGTAATTGCTTTTGAAATTGCACCGAATACAGAATGCAGATTGCTGTGCAATTACATCACAATATATTTTTCACATTTATAAATTATCCGTAACGTTTCTGGTATAGGTACTTATGGGCAACAACAAGCAAAATCAGTATAATCTTATTTATATTTTTTGAAGAGGTATAAACATCTTGTTCAGGAAAGGCAGAAACTAAATTTTGCTAAACCCATAGCACATTTCAATAGAATTGAATCATATTCATAACAAAGAATAATTTTATAAACTTATATACTACTAATGAGCTAATAGTTTATTTGTAATTTTTTTTCATCTGAATCTAACCGTAGATGCCTTTGTTCGAAACGTTTTTATAGACCTTTTCGAAAGTCATTTTTATATAATAAACAAATACATTTTGGCCGTTCTCGTCAATTATTGGTAGTAGCATAATTTCGGGACGATACATTTTTTAGTCGTTATGATCAAAGTGTTTTTTAACCATCTCATTTGAGGTAAAGATTTTGATGTTGATGCCAGCTCTGAAGAACGAAGTTGTGGAAGCTTTTGGCGATTGACCAAACTTATATGAGATCTTGCACGTCGTCTTGATGCGCTACTACTACACCTGTTGATTAATTCTGTTTTTTTCTGTTGACCTTCATCATCTAGTTCTAGATTATTTAACTGATGGCAGTAGGAATCCGAATTAACCGTTATGATATCTTCAAAAGGCTGAAAATTAAACAACTTTTTTAAAATCAGGCCAAATATATAGTATCACCATTTTGCGGCAAATATTGGCTTTGTGACTGTTTTGAGCAAGTTCCGCTTTTTCTTTTTAAAAGCAATTGCGGTTAATGTTTTATATACAATCTATTTTCTATTCCTAGTGATGATTTGATTTAAAAACTGATCATTTTCAGACGTAAATACGGCGACACAGATTTCTTTCTATGAGAACTTGGCAAACTTACATTATACATACATTGAGCTTTTAGGAAATTCTTAGACGTTTTAAGTGGTCATGAACTGTTGAATTTGATAAATTTAAACTCAGTGCCATCTTATATATTATTAAGCGCTGATATTTTTGATCAACTAATGGCTTACTCATACTTTACTCTACTTATCTTCGACATCCGGAACGAAATTTAAAAAAAAAAGTTCTCGCATTGTCATACTATCAACACGTCTTTTTCATACATATGAGTCAATATGAATTTGGCTTAAACATGTTTTGTACCATTTCTTTAGTAAAATAATAAAATATGTCGCAAATACTGCTTGTTTTTTCCGCATTTTAAGTCGCACCATCCAAGAGCTACTGCGTTGAATGGATTTAAAATTTTCACATACAAACCTTAATACATAAGCTTTCAAATCATATAATAATCATAGGGCTCAAGTGTCATGGTTAGATTTAAAAAAATACAATTAAATCTTCTGTGGTAAAATAAACGAAATAACTTTCCGAACAAGATCAGAATCTGCCTGGCTTTCAGTAGAACGGCTTAAATGATTTGTTTCCAATTGTCCTAATTTTCGCAAAGTATATTATGAAATTGAATCTGTGCTATTCATTGATTATAAAATTATAACTATTCATCATATATTTGAATTTAATTTTACGTCGAGTATGCCTATATGAAACGGAAGAATTATTGTTATTAACAACGGAAAAATTATTGGAAAATTACCCCTTTTTGCAGCACCTTTAAATATCATTCATATACAGTTTCAATGGACCATGATATGGAGATACAATTATTCAGCAAACTTTAAAGTTCCATAAAAATAAACTTATCGAGGCTTCTCTTGTCATAGTACAATACTTGCCTCTAGCTTTTTATTTTCTTCGTGTCACATCTTCTTTCCCGGTGGACATGTTTCTGATTGATGTAAAATGTGACAGTTTCTTAGTTCGGTATTCCATAAATTTTATTTTACTAATAATTCTTACGTTTTATCTTCTGAAGATAATATAATGTGAAGTATTTATAAATATTTATATAACACATTAAATCACTTAATTGAGTAATTAGAACATTTGCCAATACAATAGAGCATTTTGTAGCGCCATAACAGTTGCGTACAATAGTTTTAAGCTGAAATAAAAAATGTAAAGATTGGAGAAATTTGTTTAATTAATAATAAAAAACCGCAAATCAAAATTAAAGCGAAACAATAGTTCATGTATACATGAAAAATATCTTATTGTAGATCAAGCGTACTCAAAATTCTTTTTTATTCATAATTGCAATGAAATTTTTAGCAGGTCTTGCGAATTACGCAGATGCGGTAGAGACTATTTTTACCACAGTTTTGAAATTGAGAAAGTTCTAAAATGTGATAGTTTCTGACAAAGAGTGATGTTTTTTAATATATATATATATATATATATATATATATATATATAACTTAATGCAGTAATTAACTATCATAAATGCCTATGCAACATATGCGTATGAAATATATTATTTAAAAAGCCCAAATTCAAAAATACGATAGATTGTTATTTAAAATGTATTCAAATATAAGGTAATAACAATGGATATTGCAGACACGTTATAAATATTCATTTTTATGTGTTTTAATTGGTTTTGCGTTTTTATAGCAGGGCTTTGATTTTATAACGCAATATTAAAAACCGGAATTTCAGTCGATTCAATAAATAATTTTTGAATCATAGTTCACGCGGTTTCATGGCGCTCAACGCTCTAGTGCACATTTATAATTCTGTTTGAGCTCGGGATATATATATATATATATATATATATATATATATATATAGTTTTGTGAAATACATAAAATAAATAGCAATTATTATAATTGTTTAGTGAAAGCTATTTATTCCAATTTCTGCTGTTGCACATATTGGATCGATTCAGTAATATGATTTGTTAACTTGCCGTAATGTAAGTTATAGTAATCGCAAAAAAAAATTTCTTTTGTTTCAAAAATATCAAAATCCCAATAATCTATTTTTGTTTCAAAGTTATAAAAAAATTTAGAGCTTTTTTAAAATTTCTAATTTTCTCTACGGAAAGTTTCAACAATTTATCTTAAGGTCATGCCTACTAGTTTAAGTTAGATTCAACAGTTTTCTTATATAAAACTTATATAAATGATTTTACGTGGGTGGGGTAAAAAGGGCCAACTGAATCTTCATCCTGCATAAACACCTTCCTAGAAGTCTAGACCTTCAGAACAAAATGGTTTTTACTACCAAATTTTTAGTAATAGCAGATGGAATAGGATTAAAATTTGTCTTTGCAATTGTGAAATTTTTTGATAATATTTTTTGCGTGGAGCATAAACATTACAATAAATATTTGACAAATAATATTGATTTTTATGATAATCATTACATTACATCTATAAATGGATAAAATAATTTTTAACTTCTTGAAGGTTTTCTCGATGTTGCAAGCCATTCTGAATCGAATGAGACCAAATTTGGAAAAAGTATGTGTGTGTATGTGTGTTTGTGAACAGATTTTTTTACTGTAAATCGACGTTCGCTCAAAAACGGCTGGACCAATTTCAAAACTTTAAAAGCCATTCGATGTATCTCGATGAGCGTTTCTCAATTTTGTGCGACGATATGCCGAATCGTTTCTTTGTAATTTGAAAAAAAGTATTAAACTTTTCGTCCACATTTAAACTCTAACGAATCGATTTTAAAAAATCAAAAACTGTTCGAATGATATTAGTTAGGAATGATACTGATTAGTTTTAGGTGAAAATCAACCGAGCCGTTTTTTTGTAATTAACTGTTGAAAAAAAATTTAAGACGATTTTTATGAAACTTTTTTGGCGATATATATCATGGTCTTATAGAACTTACTAAAATATTGCGGTCTCTCGACAAGTAGTTTAATTTTAAAAATTTATCAGAGAATGAGTAGTTTTTTTTACGTTTGTTATAATTACAATTATAATTTGATTAGAGTGCTTGTTCGTTTGCAATGATGTGTAATAAATCCACTCCGAATACTTTTAATCACTCATAAATTAATTTATTTTTTATTGATTAAGTCGATTATTTACACATATCGGGAAGTTCATGTAACTTGCCTTAAGGCAAAATATTAATACCAACTAGTTTTGATTAAACTTGCCGATCTAAATTTTTCTGTAATTTGCAGTTTCTGTTAAATAGAATGTTACTTTTAATTTGATATTTGATGTATGCATGCTTGATGATTTTAAATCAGATCGCATATATTTGCTGAAAATCATTTATGTTCGTCACGAATCTATTCGGGCGGCTGCGGCTGTGGCTGTGGCGGTGTGCGGTTGATTTATTCACGAAGTAGTTGAAGGACTAAGGCGCCGTGATCAATACTGCAACTGTATTAAGTGTTATTAATAATTCAGTTCAGATCACACAGCACGCTATGTCACACGACCAAATATAAGAGCCGATGGACATTTTCATCCGAACGATTCTCGACACTTTCTGCATATTTAGAATTCTGCACGAAGCTGTACATGGTTTATATGGGGAAATAATGCATCATTAAAATAGACATCATTTTCTTATATAATGACTTGTCATGATATGTGGTTAGTGAAAAACGTGTATTTTTCTCTTGTACATTTCTTCAAACACACATTTTTCATACGCACATTTTCGGTAATACATAGCAGTGCTATTTATGACAATGATGTTTTTTATAATACTATTTTTTTTCACTGAATCGTGGCATTAATATATATTCAAATTATAGAAAAAAATATTCTACAAGAAATTGATTAAAAATTGAACATTTTTAAAAATCTTATAAACTGATTCGATATATTTATATATTATAAGGCTATGCTTTTGTTTAAATAGATTTTTTTGATAAATAAATGAAATTGAAATGAAATTATTTGAAAATTTTAATATTACCTTAATGGTGAGATAAATCTAAATATTGTTCTATCGTTTATCACAACAAAGAAATAA